CCACCACATGCAGGATCGACATTTTATAATTTTAAGGGCCAACACAGCATTGTACTCTTAGCGGTAGTATCAGCATCATATAAATTTTTAATGGTTGACATTGGTGCTCAAGGACGACACAATGATGGAAGAATTTTTAAAGAATCCAATATGGGACAACGATTTCACAATAAGCAGATGGATTTACCACCTCCGTGTCCATTGTCAAATTTTCGTAATATACCTATTCCGTACATGCTTGTGGGAGATGCTGCATTTCAACTTACCGAATATATGCTAAGACCATATCCTGTTAATCAATTAAATAGAAGTAGAAGAATATTTAATTACAGATTAAGCCGAGCAAGACGTATCTCAGAAAATGCATTTTCATTTCTAGTTAATATATGGAGAATTTATAGAAAACCGATTAACGCATCACTTAAAACTACTGAAAGTATAATTAAAGCAACTGTCTGTCTGCATAATTTTTTATTATCAACACGACAATACAGAGATATGGCAGATGATACATGTCGAAATGTTATACAAGAAAATACAGCCATTAGAAATGTTAGTAACATAGGAAGTAATACACATTCACAATTAGCAGCAAGTATTAGAAATGAATTTTGTGAATATTTTGTACAAGAAGGCTCTGTACCTTGGCAAGAAATGTATATTTAATATAAGATATATTATAAGATATATAATATATTTATTATAAGATTTTTTTTATGTAGATGTTATAACTTATACACCCATGTTACTTTTGTTCCCCTACTTGTCTCCCCTGTTATACTTTATAAAATTTTTAAATTATAAATAAAAAAATGAAATTTCGTTTATTAATCGTAAGATTCACTTGCATTCTATGTTTCAAACAGACCACTTTAAAATTTAGTACTTTTTATAGCTGTAGTTTAGGATTAAGTATATTTTTATATATGTATGATAAAATATATGTAACCACGTAATTTTTTACAAAATTAGTAATACAATAAAATTCGTACATTAAGCGCCAATAAAATATTTAAAATAGAATTTATATATTTTTATAAAATAAAACAAAACTTTTATCGAGACCGTTAACCTGAGTATACTTCTCTTATATTTTAACAAAAAAGAATCTACTTTATATAGAATACTTTACGTAACTTTAAATAACTAAAAATAAAAAAATATATTGCTCAGTATATTGTATGTATGCAATGTTACTACTTATTTAATCGGTAATATAGAAATGTAATAATAGGAAGCATGTTCCGTTTGATCACAATGGTCGCGTTCAGCAGACTCGAATTGTAGTTCTATGGCTACAGCGACCGAAGATGACTAGAATTCCAACGTCAAATGAACGCTACTTGTAATAATCTTACTGAGTATAATTATCTTGAAGTTCAAACAAGAGCGATAGTATTCTTCTTTGACATGTTGTGAAATTATGTTGTGACAATGTACGAAGTTGCGTTGCCAAATAATTGCAAAAAGCTGTTATTGGATCAGATATCATTTTGTTCATGGATTCATCTGTTTTCTTTATTTCTGATATTAAAGATTGTTCAAGTAATGGAATCTCATTTTCTTTTTTATTAATACTCTGACGTCGTCTTTTTTCTGTTGGTGAATCAATAAATACATATACATAAATATTTACTAAATTATTTGAAATAAATACACACAAAAGTGTGTATTTAATAAATACACATAAAATGTACCAATTACTCGGCAAGCAGGCTATATTTTGAAACCCATTTAAAAAATTGTTGCAACCTGCTAGACCCTAAATGTACACATGTATGTGTACAAATATATGTATGTATATTTCAAATATACAAAATATGAAATGTAAAATTACCAAATTTCATATGCAAAATAATCGTACCTGGTATATTAATATTTCTTTTATCTATATTGCTAGTTCCTAAGCCCTGTACGTTTTTTGAGGGTATAATTCCTTCCTCTAATTCCATATTTTGTCGTTTTAATGAATAATTTGGTACTGTTGATCTAGAATAAGCTTGATTTTGGGAATCAAAACTTTTTGGAAAAAATTCTAGAATTTCTGTATCACTTGTAGTAGAACTTGATGTTGCAGAATTTTTTTTTTCTAAAAAAGTATCTTTTTTATAAGTATTGCTTCTGTAATTTGATGGAGTAACACATGTAGAATTTTGATCTTTTAATGGTTCTTTTACATTAACACAATAATCCTTGTTCTTTATCCCGTTAGTAGAAGGTATAAGTGGTTTTATGTTACTAAATGTCCTAAAAATAAATTTAAACATATTAAATAATATATTAAAATATATTAAATAATTAAATTGATAATTATGTGATAATGTTATGTAATGATAATTATATAATAATATTTACGAACTTTCGACGTGTTACTGTTGATCGTAAAAATCCCATTAACTCAAAATATGGCCATGATACTGA